TTTAAGAAAAGGTCCAGGTGTGCCATGAGACAAAAAAAACGTTGAAAAACACTGTTGTGAGCAGTACTTTTGCTGTTTAAGATAAGTTGTATTTTAATTTTCATTTAGTTCAAAATATTTTTAATTTATCTAGAGGCTTCTTCTTTAATTCATTTGTTACTTAGAACTCTGTTATTTATTCCTTAAGTATTTGGGGAATTTTCCAGCTATCTTTCTGCCATTGATTTCTACTTTAAATCTACTGAAGTCTGAAAGCGGATTAGTATAATTTTTGTTCTTTCAGATTTGTTAAGATGTGTTTTATGGCTCTGAATTTGGTCTAACTTGGTGAAAGTCCCATGTGAACTTGAGAAGGAGATGAGGTCTGTGGCTGTTGAATGAAGTAGTCCGTAGATATCAACTATATCTATTGGATTGATTGGTTATTCTTTTTCTGCATTGCTGAATCTGTACACTTCTGATAGAGGCCTTTATTTTTCCAAAAATAAAAATAATTTTTTTTCCAGATTAGCAAAATATAATATGCTAAATTTTATGACATCTGGTTAACATATGTTGAACACTTACTATGTGCTAGCAGCAGTTCTCAACCTGTGAGTCGCGACCCCTTTGGGGGTTGAACGACCCTTTCACAGGGATCACCTACATACATACAACGAAAATAATTTTTTGGTTGGGGGTCACCCCAACATGAGGAACTGTATTAAAAGGTCACGGCATTAGGAAGGTTGAGAACCACTGTGCTAGTGATTGTGGATAAATTCATGAGTAAAGACAGAGCAAGAATTTCTTGCTTTTGGGAACTGCCATATTTTACAGGAGATAGCAGATATGCATACAATGTTGCATATATCTAGAAGCAAAATACATAGTTCCTTACATGATGCCCAAGTTGTTTGAATTACAGGCTTTCATGAACATTTATCAATTTCCTGAAAAGATAATGAATAATACAAGTGTTGAGCTATATGAGATACTGGCCACATTGAACAATTCTTCAATGAATCATTTTTAGAAAGTGGATCTCTCTACAAAGAAATACATATACAGTTTTTCTTTTTTCTTTTCTATAAAGGGCTGGTAACCAGAATCGAGAAAGAATTCAAGCAAATCAGCAACAAAGAAATCAAACAACACTGTTACAAAGTGCACAAAAGATAAAAACAGAAATTTTCAAATGAAGATCTACTAATGGCCAAGAAACATGTGAAAAAAATGCTTAACATTTCCAATCATCAGGGAGACAGCAAATCAAAACCACAGTGACATATCACCTAACTCCACTGAGAAATATATATTTTCCAATACATTATTTCCTGTTCTCTTAGACCCACTCTGATTAAGTTATGTCAGCATAGAAGTTTCTGGAATACAAAATCTATATGGATTTTTATGCAATACAAAACACATTGTGATGTCTCTGTCTTCCTAAAGGTACCAAGATTTATTGACTTATTTAAGTGGAACAAAAAGAATGTACTCTTTCTCCCTCTTATATTTGCCTATTTTGTAGAATGGGAAAGTTACCATACCCTATATTTGAGCCCCAGGCTATTAAGCCAGAAGAAAACTAGCTTGTACTGAGTACTATGCTCACCTTTTAACAGGCGCAAAGCAGCCTGTTTGGGAGGCCAGCTTGCATTTTTAAGGACACATGAACTATTCCTTCTGTTTTTTATTGCCTTCATTGGCCTTAAAGATCAAGCTGTGGAGAAACACCTTCTGCCTAATTAGCAGTATTAGCCTTTAAGTCCCCAGAAAGGTCTTTTGGCCCTGAAATTATTCTTGGGTATACTTTTGAAGACTCAATCATCCCCTTTTGGAAAGCAAGGGGGACTCAAGGAGCTGGGACTGAGTAGATCGATGTTTATAGCAACAGATCAGCCTAATTGCTGCCCCCCAATAAAAAGTCCACAGTGAAGCAAAAGAGATTTGTGTGTCTAAAGGAAGAATTTGGAAGAAGGTAATCTCTAGTGAATCATAAGCTATGATGAATTCCTCAGTCCCAGAACCATTATACTTGTTTTGGAAAAACCAAACAAAAATAAGGGATTAAGCAATAAAAGAGTCAGCAAAGGATTAGTTTTAAAGATGTTTTCCATTTGCCAATCATGCCAACAGTGTGAACTTTAGTGTCATGTTTTTATTTATTTATTTTTTATTTCTTGGCAAACTAAAATCACTGTAAATGCAGTCATTGTCATCGTCAATTACACAATTAATGAGTCAAAGACCTCAATGCCAAAGACCTAAAGAATGAGTTGGCGGTTAGGAGAATATTCTGTCCCCTATACAGACCTATGGAAGGATACACTAGGGATAGATATCACAATTGTCTTTTCAGAATCCATCCTTAAAAGCCTACATAGACCCCAATTTTTCTCACAAGCCACTTAACATTATTTATAATTTTTTCAAATATATTTTGAATTCATTTATATCCCTGAAAATGTTGCCTTTTGAAGATAGCAAGGTCCCCAATTTTTGTTATACATTATATGAAGTGAATATGTGCTTTTTTTTAGGTGAAAAACTTTTGTCACTTAGATTTCAAAGCTTAATCCCGTATCATTCTACAAGGGTTTCAGGAAGGGGTCTGTGTTCACTTTGCTCAGGTCGTCCAGGGTCTCTGACTTTTAAGGCTCTCAAAGATGTAGGGTTACAAGAATAGTCTTAGCATTATTGAGTAAAATGTAAAAGAACTCATATTCATTGGTGGTATTTGGTTTATCTACCAAAATTTAATATGTGTACAATATGTTTGGCCCCATGATTGCAGTGGTAAGAATTTATCTTGCATAAATATTCAGACATGTTAGCCAAGAGATTGCCAGTCCAATATTACTATATGGAAAATTCTCAAAAATAGTTTTAGGCAGAAAACAAGACAGTTATATATACTATTAATATAAAATTAGTACATAAACATACATATAAGAATGTGTAAAATATATATGTTTATATATAAGTATTCTAAAATATATATGTATAAAGGTATATGTAAGAAAGCATAAAATAAAGCAAATATATATACATACTTATAGTTTATAAAATCTTTAATGATTAGGACTGGAAGTCAGAAAGGCCTTTGATATTTTAAAATCTTTCTTATATTTTAATTTTTTTTAATATGCATGCATTATTTTTTCATTAAACCACTGATCTTGTTACGTTTAAAACACTGGTGCTTCTTAGTCCTTCCAGAGAATATCAACAGAAGGTTTTTAATCAGTCACGTTGGGACTGCCACCTGCCCAGCTATGCCTATTAGGCCCCATCAATTTTGTGGTTCATCCCCAGGTACATTAATTGAAAATAAATGATTAAAATACTCATGTAAATTTTCAAGAACACCAGGAGATTATAAATTAAAGCCATTCCAAGTGATGATCGGTTTAAATATAAATTATTAAAAATTATGGAAAATAACTAACCTCATTATTTAAAATTAAAGCTGCTGGGAGATTCCATTTTTAACACAAAAAATTGACAATTAAAATACATATATTAAGTTTTATAATGCCTTGGTGAAGATACAATTTTTCACAACATTTTGGGGGATAATTTGGTAAGATTTTTAAACTTCTTTTATCCAGTTATTTTGATCATTTTTTTGGAAAGAAATGGTTAATCAAATTTGGAATATCCATAACAGAGATAATAGCTTAAGAAAAACTTGTCTTCAAGGAGTACTTAGTGGCGTAAGGACGTAATCATGATAAAATGCTAGATAAAAATGTGGAGATGAAGTTCAATCTATATTAGGATCTTATGTTAGAAAAAAATTATGGACATGATATATATCACATATGTATATGTATATAGATATATATATGTGTGTTTGTGTGTGTGTGAGTATATGTAAATGTCTTTTATATAATATATATCTTGTGCAGTGAAATCTAAATTATTTATCCTATGTATGTCAAATATAAAAGTGAAAGAAAGAAATCATTTATTTTAGAGTAGTGAAACTGGATTAAATGTTGTGCCTCCTTTGTAATTGCCTGCATCACATATACACTAAGCTTTTCTATAAATCACAACAATTGCCTTTATAATCTACTGCTGTTACCATGTTGGTGGATTCTACTTGTGACCTCCAAACATTTTTCTTATGCTTTGCTTGATTCCAAGGTTTTATTCTCTCCCTTATTTTGTCTGCACAGTATATTTGTGCAAATATCAACTACGGCACTTTTTATGCAACATCATTATCCTGACACTTAACTCATTGGATGAACATTTCTCTCTCTCGAGGCATCTGACCTTCAGGAGTGGTTGCTTTGCTACAAAGTAACCAAATGTAATTCAAACTTCCAGTCAGCTTGATTCTGGAGCCCTTGTTTCTTACCTACCATACTCCTTTCATAGACTCTGTCTCCTTCATAGTATCAGAGGGAGGAATCATAATCTCAGACTCAAAAGTCTGTAGAGTTACACCAGGGCATCAGCTATGCTCTGAATGACCCTGCCTAGTCTCACTAAGGGTTTTTAATGAGAATTTAGGCTTGCTATCTGTTCAATTATTTGTAGATTTTCTTTTGTTAGATTTGAAGTAGCTCATAAAATGTTCTGCAAAATCTTTTTATCATCTGCTTTTTCTTACATACCCCTTCCCAGTTCCCCAGTCTCCTTAAGGAGACAATCGTCTAAGAGAAAGACTTAATCATCTTAGTCACCACCAATGTCTGGAGACAATGAGAACTCAATATTTTTAAACCCTTCAGAATCATCTTTGCTATTTCTAAAAATAAAATAAAAATTGTCCCTAAAAACTTTGTGAATGAATTTTCACAGTGGCTACTATGAAAAAAAATCGTTGGATTAAAAATCAAGCAAATAGCGCAAGTTAAATAAAAAAGTTGAAAAGTAGAAAATAGAAGTTTTAATCAATTGAAAATACTTTCAAATAAAAAATTAAAACCTATCTTTGTTTCGCAATCCTTTCTGGTGAAATTTAGAAGATAAGAAAATTAGCTACTAAAATTTTTTTTCAAAAAAGGGGCTTCTATAGGGAGTGGCACACGTAGAGCAATTCTGTTGCTCTTTGTGGGAAATCAGCATCAAGAGGTTTCAGAGGCAAAATGTTTTGGTATCGAGGCTGCTGGTGATTGTTGGTCCCGGCACCCTTGTGGGGAAAGGAAAATAGAAATGTCTTTACAAATGAGTTTACAATCATTGATATTTAGCATAAGAAGGAGTTTAGATAGAAACTAGTCCAATTATTACATTTTACTAAGATGACTAAATTATTTCGCAAGATAACATAGGCTTAATGTTACGGTTAAGTTGAACATATAATATTTATACTTTCTACAACTCAAAAATATTAATAATTTCATTTAAAAGACCAGAAAGTGGCAAGGTATGAGGCTCACACTTGTAATCCTATCAGTCTAGGGGGCCAAAGCAGAAAGATTGCTTGAGGTGGAGTTTGAGATGAGCCTGAGGAAAGCAAGACCCCACCTCCACTAAAAGTAGAAAATAAGCTAGGTGTGGTGTCACATGCCTGTAGTCCCAGCTACTCTGAGGCTGAGGCAGGAAGATCGCTTGAGCATCGAAGTTTGAGGTTGCTGGGACCTGGGCTTAAGTCCATGGCACTCTAGCCAGGGCCATAGAGCAAGACTCTGTCTCCAAAAAAAAAAAAAAAAAAAAGCACAAATATAGGGTACTCTTATTTTTATTTACATAAAGTTTTTATTTAAATGTAACAACTATAGAGGAAAATGTACAAGTCACAATTTTACAGCTCATTAACTTTCATAAGATAGACACAAAATCAGTCCCCCGAAAACCCCTTTGCTACTCCTCCTGCTGACAACTATTCTAACATAACTTGGTTCTTATTTGCAGAATATGAAGAATGATTTAATAAAATTCTACTTAATGACCTCAGAATAATCAAATATTAATATTTTGCCTAAAGCAACTTTAGCAATATTTTAGAAGTTTATCTTTATAACTTTTATACAGGAACTTTAACTTTTTGCTATACAATTCCAAAGTTTGGATAAATACTAGAACTTTACCCATGGTCAAGATGCAGAACATTCCACCATACTCCCAAATCCTCTCATGCTGCCTTCCCTGTTTAGATGCCCCCACCACCAGCCTTACCCCTTTAAAACAACTGATCTGTTCTTTATTCCTAAAATTTGCATCTAGTAAAATGTTAAATTAATAAAATTACACAGTATATACCCTTTTGAGTCTAGCATTATCCACTTAGCTTAATGTATTTGGGATATACCTATAACTATAGCATGTACCAAGAGTTCCTTCATTTTATTGATAATAGGATTTTATTGTGTAGAGGTACAAAGTGTGTTTTTGAGTTGTTTGCAGGTTTTGGTGATTATGATTAAAGTTGCTATAAATAATTACATGAAAGATTTTGTGTAAATTTCATTACTATTGATCATGGGGTTGCTATGCCATCTGATAGGTTAAGTACACTTAACTATAGGAGAAATTGCCAATGTTTTTCAAAGATTTTTGTACCATTTTGTGATACCTGCAGCAGTATAGTGAGGGTTTTGGTGGCTCTGTGTCCTTGCTAACACATGACATTTAAAAAAAATTGGGGTATTCTAATAATGTTATCTCATTTTGATTTTGTGTTTTATTGATAATTAAAGATGTTGAGCATCCTTTTATGTGCTTAATATGTTAAGGATGTTCCTTTATATTCCTAGATTAACAAGTGGGGTGTTTTTTTTAATCATGAATGAATGTCAAATTTTTTTACATCCTATTTATTAAAGTAGAATCTTAGGTTCATTATTTGAGAACTTCCTCTCTTCTATTATAAACAACTATGCATATACATTTCTGTTTAAAATTTCCTTTAATTTCATCTTATAAAATTTGGAATATTCACTTTTACTTTTCTGCAGTTCAAAATACTTCTGATTTTTCTTGGGACTTCTTTTTCTTATAGTTTATGTAGAAGTGTGGTATTTACTTGCTAAATATATGTAGATTTTCCAGAGACTGTTCTATTAATGATTTCTAGTTCAATGCCATTGTTATCTGAGACACACTTCAGATGATTTTTATTCTTTAAGTTTGTAAAGATGTTTCATGGTCCAGAATATGGTTTGTCTTGGGTTCACATAACTCTCACAGAGTGAGAGGTTCCTCTCCACTTTTGTGCTGACCATGTCTTTGTACAGCTTCTCTACTTGGGTATATTAACGACGTGTTTCTGATGTAGTGACATCTAGGGCCTTGCTGATGTTGGAAAGGCTGCCCCTTTCTCTGCCAGCACTCAGAGATTGAAAACATCTTGCTTGTCAGAGTTCACTCCCAATCCCATCTCCTACACCAGGCTTTTCCACTCTGGGCCAGATGTCAGGCTACTAGGGATAGCTTCTGCGCTCCAGAACCTACGGAAATTAATTAAACTGGACAATCCTAGATCTTATCAGCCTGCCTCACCACTTACATCACACAGAAAACACAATAAAAGCTCCTGCCTGTGGTCTCCCCTCACTCCCTCTGCCTTCTTACCATCGCTGGTGCTTTCCCCAGTGGCTCCTGAATGGCCTGGCCAGCCCCTTCCTCTTTGTAACTATAACAAACTGTCCTTTCAGTGATAATCACCTCCTGTTCTGTCAGCCCCACTATATTTGAATAATAATGAAACCTAAATTTTAAAACATGGGGCCACTATTGGGCTAAAAATGGAACAAAATACAACCAGGAAACCCATCTATGTGCTGGTTATATTTAAATTTCCTACTTTCTCCCCAGATGTATTTTTACTTATCCTGTCATTATTTACTTTTTAGAATACTCAAGTAGTTATTCTTTCTATGCTCTCCATAGATTTGGGTTGTAATTGGCGGTAAAGACAGACTGTAGTGGGTTTACTCTGTCTTGGCTGATACTAGAAATCAAATTGCTTAATACATGCTTCTAAACGTGATGTAAATGGAATTGCACAGTATATATTCTTGCTTTTAATTTCTTTCACCCCACATAATGTTTGTGAGATTCATTTATGTTGTTCTATGCGGCAATGATTTATCCATTCTGATTGCAGTAGAATATTCTATGGCATAAATATACCACAATTTATTTTTCCAGGGTCTTTACCAGAATTTAAAAAAAAAAAAATTTAGGAGTCCCTTGGGAACCTGAATCCTAATAAAGAATTATAAACTCTGAAGAAAAAATTTAGGAGTCCTCAAATTGAGATATGAGCACAATAAGCCCTGAGCAGAATGAAAACATATTTACCCCTAATCACATTATAACTGAAATTGCTGAAAACTAAGGAGAAGGAAAAAATATTAACAGTAATCAGAATAAAAAGACAGGCTAGTTGCAAAATAGCATCATTGTCACTTCTTTCTCAGTTGCAATAATAGATGGCAGGGGACAATTAAGCAGTACCCTTAAAAGACTGAAGGAATGCCATTATTGACCTGAAATTCTATACTGAGCTAAATAAACATCTAAGACAGAAGCAAGAAGAAAAGTAGTTTAAGGCAAACAAATACTGAGGCCATTTACCACTCACAGACTTTTGCCAAAAGAACTACTACAGGGAAGAATGTTCCAGCTCCATCCAAGTAAACATGTAAGAGGTAAAGTCTCTATCTTTCTGTAAGGCTACATAATATCCCACTAGGTGTAGATTATAAATGTCTTAACACAATAACTAAGAAACTGAGAAGGCTATGTTAACCAGTTTGATGAAAACATTTCAAATTGTATATAAAATCAGCACATTCTACCTCATGATTAAATTAATGTACATGGCTAGGATTTAATAAAAAAAAAAAAAGAATTACTACTAGGCATATTTGAGGAGGAAAGAAATTAAATCCCAAGGAAAGAAATGGGATGTATGAAACAGGTGGGGATAGAAAATGTTGAACACATTCAGTTATTTTTGATTGAATAAAAAATGAGAGCATGATGATTCATTTAAATAGAGGTTTAATAGAAATAATAACACAAGGACTGACAATTAAGTTTGCAAACTGGCCACTGTATGTTTACATCATCGACACTGTACAAACAACTCAGTGAAGTTTCATGACCTTGGTATATCAATGTGTCACAGCTCTGTTTGTGTTGACATATGGTGGTGTCTTGGTGAGTGCTGTTCATTCTTGTTGTTGCCTGCTTTTGTGTGTCATTGCAAGAATGTTGGAGTTTGAATTAGAGCAACAAACAAACATTTGTAAATTTCTTGTTAAACCTGGCAAGAGTGGAAGTGAAATTAGGGACATGTTAGTCTAAATTTACAGGGATAACTCCATAAAGAAAACAGCAGTGAGCAAATGGATTAAATATTTTTCTGATGCTAGTAATGAGCAGAACTAATGAAGTATGAACATTTAGGGAAAGAAAGAAAGTGAGACTTGTGTAGGCAAAATAAAGTAAAATAAAACTTTCACAAGTCTGATGAGCTAGCCCAAAGTAAAAAAAATAGAAATTCATTCCACTTGAGATTAAAATAAATTTAATTTCCACATAAAATAGATGTTTTTTTCTGAGAATTATTTTTTTTTGTTATATATTAAAAAATGAAGAAACAATATCAATGGCCAGTTCTTGTTGAAAGTTTCTCCACTCAGATATAGGTTACTATTTGTCATCAAGGTATTTTCTAGCAAGTCTAAACTAGAAGTCAAAAGTTCAAGAACCTAGTCTCGACTTTGACCAACTGTGTGATCTTGGACAAGCCTCTTAAACTCTCTAAACTTTGCTTTTCTCACCAACAAAATTAGCTGTTTTGATGAGATATCCTAAAGAACAGAATGTCCTATGGAACATAAGATGAGTCACATAAGCAATTTAAAATTTGCTAGTAATCATATATATATATATATATATATATTCTTTTTTTTTTTTTGCAGATTTTGGCTGTGGCTGGGTTTGAACCCACCACCTCTGGCATATGGGGCTGGCACCCTACTCCTTTGAGCCACAGGCACCGCCTGCTTATAATCATATTTTAACAAGTAAAAAAGATAGATAAATTTAAAATGTATTTTCTTAATCTACATATCCAAAATATCAATAGTATCATGTGTGTATGTCATCAGTATACAAAACAGTGATGAGATATTTCATGTTGGTTCTTTACAATCTGGCATGTATAAAAAACTTACA